ATCAGATTTAGGCATATATATGTAATTATTTCGCATCAATATAGTGTTGTTGCAAATAAAATCTTCATGCCGACTAGATCTTTATGGGATATCCTTACATCTCTAGAACTCCGTTGGTAAGAATGAGAAACTAGATCTCTCTTGTGTACTAGGAATAATTGTGATGAGTTATGTCTTCCAAACACAAAAGAGATGATGTATATATAGGCTCCAATAAATACCCTAATTAAGGAGACCTTAAATTGAGCTTCTCTTATTAGGATTAGACTGTAGGCCAAGCCTACTAATCCTAATTAGAATAATATAGTCATTCTACTAAAGTAGTATTATTGAAATACTCCGAGTTTAATTCCCAAATTATGATTTGAGCTCCAACTTCAATGTACTCGAATTACCTCCACATGTTTAAGATATAATATTCTTCAATTTACTTAATTACTGATAATTAAATTAATTGACTTCTATAACCGAAGCTAGCATCGTTCATCATTATTATCATGTCAGAAGTTAATCCACCTGCAGGGTTTAACATGACAATCCTTCTTAACTCAATTCGGAGACATCATCAAACCTCAACTATGTGAAGCACACAGTGACCGTAAATATTATAACAAAACACAATGTCATGTAGGAAGAACTACCCAACCTAGAAATTATTGGTACATATCAATAAACCTCACCTTGTTGAATCAAAGCAGTAGTTACTGCATACATGTGTCTGTTTATATCTGATGAGTTAAGATAACGCAGTAATTAGCCGAGGCCTAGTTCATTTACGACGATCAATATAAAACAAACTGCTCCTCCCTGGATCCATTCAATACACCAATGTGTACTAGTGTGACTAATCAATAAAGATAGACTGTACCGTTCACACTAGTTTCAATGGTTTGTTCAGTTCCATCTAGATTGTGAATCAATTGTTTATGTTTCACAAGTGACCGATAAATGATCTTATGTCCATCCGTGATGAACCATTTATTTAAAAGCAAAGCAATAGAACATAGAACTTTATTTAATCAAATATGAATTCTCACTCAACATAAATAGTGTGAATATCATCTAAAGCCAAACTTTCAATATGCACTAACACACACTAACATTATCTTCATTAAAGAGTCAAATGTGAGATAAGTTTTTTGACCTTTTGAATCTCACAACTAACATTTAATGTGTACATTATTGACTAATTGTAATTACTTAGTTCTACTCATCGAAATCCCATTTTGAGAAAATAAATATATCATGGGCATCTACTCGGAATGCAGAATTGTTCTACATAGTTTAATTCAACTCGATTTAAATTTTTTTCCATATAAAATAAGTCAAAATCGAGTCAAATCCAATTATTATAGTTGATTTCTCACAATTAGTTGAGATTTAAACTACACAAGTACAACACTCGTGTATTACACGAGTGCTTGTTAAAAAATTATAGTTAAATTTTAAAATTAATGAGAAAAATTATTTTAAAATTTATTTACTTGTTTACAAAAAAATATATTATTATATATTTTAGAATGACACTAGTTATTTGTGCGGCTTACATGTGTT